TCCCAGAGCTGCAGAGCTTCCTCCCCTTCTCTCCTGGATCCACCTAGAAAGATCACCTTGTCAGTGAGGTGGTCCCCGCCCTTCTCCTTTAACTCGCACCTGCTCACTGGCTCGCTCTCCCCAGTCCCCTTCCTGTGGTGATTTTCTCCCTGATGCGTTTCCTGGGTCCACGTCTTCCCCTCCTCCCCCCAGCAGGTAAGTGGCAGGAAGGCAGTGGGCTCTGTGTGTCATTCACTGCTGAACGCACAGCGCCCAGATCGAGACCTGTGCCTCGGTCCCCGTTCGCCGGATGGATGACTGAAGGCACGGGGTTTGCGGGGGGGGGGGGGTCATTTCCGACAGACGTGGGCAGCTGGTGCCCCGGGACCCCCGCGTGACTCCTGGCTGCAGCCAGCGCCCCCAGTGACCGTGGTCCGACTGGGCGGGTGAAACCACAGAACTCTGCAACCAGAGATCACACTCCCTCTGCGCCTTTGTCTTTCTTGGCCTTAGCTCATCCGAAGCTTTGTCTTTGGAAAACCAACAGAGCCCTCTGCCAGAAAGGTCTGCTCCACTGTCTTGTTGCTTCAGCTGTTTGCAAGGCGCTCTTGCGGGCTGCTTGGCCACGGGGGGCCCGCGGGGAGCCAGGGTCAGGTATTGGGCAGCCGGCCCGGGTGTGCAGCCTGCAGAGCACATCTTCAGGGCAGCTCCTCCTTTCCAAGGCCCACAGCCCGCCTGTGAGTCGTTTCCGTGATGAGTACCCTTCCCCATCAGCAAGCCCGGAACCCAAAGGGAGGCCAGACGTTAGCAGGCCCAGCGGCCTTGCTTTACGGCGGGGTCGTGGAAAAGAGCACAGACCATCGCAGAGCTGATTGGCAGCCGGAGCTCCTGAGGACACGGGCGGGGTTGGTGCTGTGCTCAGCAAAACCTATCCCAGTGAGCTCAGATGGCCCTTCCTTGGGCGTGTTTGTTGAGTAGGTGGTTGGTTACCTTCCAGCCCAGTGGAAGGAGCGGCGAAGGCTTTGTCAAATGCTCCCCCTTCTTCCTAAGCCCCCAGGAGTGCTCCTTGCCTGTGTCCACTCTCCCTTCTTTTATTTATTTGGCTGTGTCGGGTCTTAGTTGCAGCGCGCGGGCTCTCTAGTTGTGGCACATGGGCCTAGTCGCCCCGCGGCTTGTGGGATCTTAGTTCCCCGACCAGGGATCGAACCCGTGTCCCCTGCATTGGAAGGCAGATTCTTAACCACTGGACCCCCAGGGCAGTCCCCACTCTCCCTTCTGAGATGGGGAGTGTGACGTGTAAAGAAGGTTTGGGAAAGTAACCTCAGATAAGACACTGAGCCGGTAGTCTTTAAAAAAAGAGCTTTAAAAAAGATCTTGGATCTTTAAAAAAAAAAAAAAAAAAAAGCACAACGACCCAGCCTTATTGAAGTAGGATCGACAAATAAAAATTATATACAACGTGATGTTTTGATATACATACACATTATAAAATGACCACAACCAAGCTAATTTAACACACCCATCACCGTACATAGTTACCTTATAAATTTTTTGGTGGTGGAAACATTGAAGATCTACTTTCTTTGCAAAATTTCAACTACGTAATACAGTTTTACGAACTCTGGTCACCATGCTATACATTAGATCCTGTCACTGTGCTATACATTAGATCCTCAGAAGTAATTGATTCTTTTTTTTAAAAAAATATTTATTTACTTATTTGGCTGTGCCGGGTCTTAGTTGCGGCACGTGGGATCTTTGTTGCCCCGCGTGAGATATTCGTTGCGGCACGCGGGATCTTTAGTTGTGGCATGCGAACTCTTAGCTGTGGCAGGCATGTGGTATCTAGTTCCCTGACCGGGGATCGAACCTGGGCCCCTTGCATTGGAAGTGGCGTCTTAGCCACTGGACCGCCAGGGAAGTCCCAGAAGCGATTGATTCTACGTAACTGGTTGTTTGTACGTTGACAAACTCCCTTCCATCTCCCCCACCCCCCAGCCCCTGGCACCCATCGTTCTCCTCTCTGCTCTTGTGAGCTCTACTTTTTTAGATTCCACATGTGAGTGAGATCATGTGGTATTTGTCTTTCTGTGCCTGGCTTGTTTCACCTCACACAGTATCCGCCAGGTTCATCCAGGTTGTTACGAATGGAGAAGAATTTCCTTCTTTTTAAAGGCCCAATAATTCCATTATGTGTGTACAATGCACACAGCACATTTTCTTTACCTATTCACGCATTACTGGGTACTTGGGCTCTTGTGAATAATGCTACAATAAACATGGGGGTGCCAGTAGCTCGTCAAGATATTCATTTCATTTCCTTTGGATATATACCCAGAAGTGGGATTGCTGGATCATATGTTTGGTCTAGTTTTAATTTGAGGAACCTCCATACTGTTTTCCATAATGTCAGCTTGGATCTTAATCAAGGTCCGTGGCTTGAAGTCCATTCTTTGAATGTCTGACTTGCTTTTTCCCTTTAGTTAAAAACAATAAGTGGGGAAAGGATTAAATGTCTCCCTGGGGGTGTGGGCGTGAAGGCTAGGGCAATGGTGTACTGGCTAAATTAGCTTATTTCCATGCCATAAAAATTTTAAGTATTAATGATTCTCTTTGAAAACCTCAGAGGAATGTTTTATCCACAGAATTCTTAAGAAAAACAATCTGTTTACTTATGTTCCCACCTTAATTTTAACTTCCTTCTTAAGTGGGTTTTTCTCCCCCCCTGGGGCGTTTTGTGTTGGGTCATTCTGAAGTGGATTATGGGTGAAGAATGAGGCCGCTCTAGTGTTCCAAGCTAAGTAGCTTTAGGAAGAAAAGCTTCCTGCAACTGTTGCTCATGGTCAGAAGCCAGTAGAATAAGGCAGGTCAACAAGTGTTTGTTAGGCACCCTGCTTGTGCAAAGCCTCTTTCTTCTAGAAAGGGAGAAGTCTTTGGGGCCTCAAGATCAACAAATACCAGTTGAATCTAATTGAGTTTGAAATAATAACTTTCCTTTTGGAAAACAGAAGAATTCGCGTTGCTGAACAATTGATTCATTGCCCTCCAGATGACCATGACTGTTGACTCGGAATTCCTTTTATTTTGATTAAGTGCATAGCTGCCTATCCTTCCGAGTTTATCTGGATCTTCCAGAACTTACATACCTCCAACCACTCCCGTCCATCTGGGTTGGCTGGCCGGCTTGGTCGGCTGTGCATTCATTCCTCAAGGGCAGGGATACCCAACTGGAAATGGCATCTGTCACAACCCCAGCCCTACTAGCACCTTTATATATTAGTATTACTGTTATTTTTTGAAGAATGCGACTGTTCATTTATTTATTTATTTGGTTGTGCTGCGTCTTAGTTGCGGCAGGAGGGCTCCTTAGTTGCGGCTGGCGGGCTCCTTAGTTGTGGCAAGCGAACTCTTAGTTGCAGCATGCATGTGGGATCTAGATCCCTGACTGGGGATTGCACCTGGGCCCCCTGCATTGGGAGTGCGGAGTCTTAACCACTGCACCACCAGGGAAGTCCCGCATCTTTGTATATTATAATAACTTGGTTCTCCTTTAATGGGTTGGGTGTTCCACGGAGGTTTTTAAAATCTGATCCAGAATTTCAAGTCTCTGTCTCCTTACTAGCCTAGTCAGTTTAGGGCTTTTAGGTGAACTAGGGATAAAATACGGTTTTATTTATTCTGTGTTTCCATTTGCAACCTGCAGTTGAAAGCATAACCTTCCATTTCTGTCTTTCAGAACTCAACCTGATTTATTGTTTTGTGTTTTTCCACTGAAGCTGAATCATCTCTAGTTAGGTCTCTAGTTAGGTTAAGTATCAGTTAGGTTAATCACCTCCAGTTACGTTAGTTTTCTTCTCGGACCAGAATCTGGATATTTTTAACTAAGCATCTTGCTACTCAAAATGTAATCTAACGGCTACGTTAGAAATACAGACCCCAGGTCCCAGCCTCACCTACTGAATCTACATTTTAATAAAATCTCCAGCTGATTTGCATGTACATCTAAATGTGAGAAGCACCGGTTGAGCATGTCTTAAGATTTTCTTATTAACAATTACATTGTCAAGATGTAAAGGGACACATTTCCGTTAGACACTTTTTGGACATTTTTCCCTGACATTTTATTATGAAACATTTCAAACACACAGCAAAATGGAAAGAGTTCTACAGTGAGCTCCCTAGACTGTCCACCTAGATTCTACCATTAACTGATTTTTTTTCCTTTCCTTTTCTTCCCAATTAATTTCTATCAGGAATTTTATATAGAGGGACTTCCCTGGTGGTCCAGTGTTTAAGACTCCGAGCTCCCACTGCGGGGGGCCTGTGTTCAATCCCTGGTACAGGTACTAAGATCCCTCATGCCACACGGTGTGGCGAAAAAGCAAAAACAAAAACAGACTGCTCCTTTATTGACGAATTCCCTGGCGGTCCAGTGGTTAGGACTCAGCACTCTCACTACCGAGGGCCCAGGTTCAATCCCTGGCCAGGGAACTAAGGTGCGGCCAAAAAGAAAGAAAAAGAATTTTATATAGAAATGCTAGTTTACAGCATGACTGTTAGAAAGAATCATGTCTTGGTAATAAGGTAATAAGGGTCTCACCCTTTCTTCTAGAATCCCTGTGGGTTTTGACAAGGTCGCGCTTAGTTTGGGAAGTTCTTGTGAATCAGAGAAGCACAGTGAGGTGGGAGGTGGGGTGCGCTGGGATTTCACAGAGTGCTGCAGTGCTGGTCCCTTTACCCCTCCACCCGGAACACGGGGCCTCAGTATATGCTCCTCTATACGGTGAGCGGGTTATGAGAGATCATCTCTACTGTTGCTTCCAACCCTGTAATTGTAGGTCTATTGCAAATATTAGCATCACTTTTTCTCCGGTGGAGAAAGCGATGAACCCGTTCAGTAGTCGAATAAGAAGGAGAACATCTGTCGGCATGGAAAAGTGATTATTTCCTAAGCTACTGAGTAAAACACAGCTGCACCGGCAGTTTCAACTCTGTTTTCTTGTCAATTTCTGTTCTTTCAGGAAACCTTACAGACACATGAAGCCTTCAACCATCTGGAACTCAGAAACTCGACTGGGACTGACTGTGGCTTCTAGACCGTCCAGGTGTTCTGCAGATGTGAAAACTTATCCCACACTTGCCAGCTGGAGCCCCGAATAGATGCAAGGCTCGAGCTCCGGCTCTCACATCTCCTAAGTGGCCAGGGAGCAGTTGTTGACACTGAGGTCTGATTGCTGCACACGACCCCTCACCTTACGGGGCTGCGCTGGAGAAAGTCAAGTTCAGGGTCGTGAGTTTCCCAACTCTCGTGAATTAGGATTCCAGACGCGGGCCTCATTTCTGTAGCGCCCACCATCCCTGTAGGCATCACCACCACCACCATCACCACGAGCATCTTCTTGGAAACTCCGCCACTGCATCACTGCACACAGTTGGAAACCTCCCCTGATCGCCATGGCCTGCCCTTTCCTAAAGGTTTTGTTGGTGGGGGTGAGTTTCCTGGGATGTCTTTATCCTCTCGTGGATTTTAGCTTCAGTGGGGAAACAAGAGAACAGAAACCGAATTTCGTGATCATTTTGGCAGATGACATGGGGTGGGGTGACCTGGGAGCAAACTGGGCAGAAACGAAGGACACCGCCAACCTTGATAAGATGGCTGCAGAAGGAATGAGGTGAGTCTGAGATGTCAAGCCGGCATCTCTTTGGATATTTCATCCTGACTCTTTTGGGGGGAGGGGGCCGCATAGAGCACTTAAAGAGCAATTGATGGGTCCATGTTGATTTAATTAATTGATTGATGAATTTGGTTTGAAGCCAGTACAGCGTCATGCAGGAGTCCATCCATCCGTCTGTCCATACGATAACTGTTCTTTTTCTGGCCATGCTGCACAGCTTGTTGGGATCTTAGTTCCCTGGTCAGGGATCGAACCTGGGGCCCCGGCAATGAGAGCACTGAGTCCTAACTGCTGGACTGCCAGGGAATTCTGATAACGCTTATTGTGTGTGTGTGTGTGTGTGTGTGTGTGTGTGTGTGTGTGTGTGTGT